TTGGCTCCCCTCCCTGGGGTCCATCTTATATTAAACTGACGCCCACGACATCCAATCAGGTCTGAAGAAGAAGCAAAAACTTGGAAATGTGTCACCTGCCTTGCCTGTGCTCTCCCTCTGAATGCTGTCTCTCCGCCCCCATGTATTCCACACTGGTTATGATACACACAGCTGACAGTTAGTGGTCTGGCATGGTCAACCCAGGCTGATGAGCAGCGGATTAGCATCGGCTGACCCCAGGACATCTCCACTGGGCTCATACATCAGTACATGCTTACTTCAGACTACCTTTATGTGTAGTTATTAGCTGCTTTTATTTATTAAATCTTGTTTTAAATACTACATCGAGGCCGCCCCTCCCCCATTTGTTCCACTTTTGTTTCTACAGAGATTGCTTCACTCTATGGGGAGCTGCCGCTGACATGGTGTCCACTCATAAATGGACTTTTTTTTATACCTGTATTTGTCCACTAGTGGCTTAGTGTATATTGTGATTTTCCAGAGCCATTCTCTTTGTTCTTTTATAGCAGTAGAAAGGTTGCTTAATGAAGCTGGTTCCCTCCAGGTACAGTAGAGATGTAGCTCCCACTAGGTGGTGCTACTGCAAGGAAAATTTTATTTTTAGCTCATGCTAGTTTGTGTTTGATCCGTGTCTTCAGTGCGTTTCATGTTGCGTTTTGTTTTTGCACATGTGTTTTTTTTTTATTTGTTTGTTTCTAGGCAGATTTAAAACGCAAAACGCATCAAAAACATGGCAAAAATGCACTACATGCTTTTCTGCAGCATTTCCATTGAAGTCTATAGAACCATAAACGCAAGTTTTTGCCTTTAAAAAAGTCCCTGACCCAAAAAACGCACCAGTGAAAAGGCGGAGATGTGAACGTGTCCCATAGGAAATCATGTTAAATGGACTGTAGTATGTTTCGCAAAATGCTGTGGAAAGCATGTAGGTGTGAACCTAGGGTAATAGCTGATTCACACATATGTTGTACAGATTAAAGCTCAGGTTTCACAGCTAATTGATTGTAGTTGACAGTAGTTGTTCACAAGTTCACATCAGATTTACATCAGGTTCAAGACAGGATTAGCTCAGGATCTTATCTTGTTCACGCATATGCGGTTTAGGAAAGGTTCTCATAGAAGTCAAAAGGCTGTAACAGGGGTGGACTGACAACTCATGGGGCCCCCAGGCAATAGGGGATCATGGGGCCCCTGTGTCCTTGCCCAAACTCAAAAAAGCCTATGAAAAAGGTACCAGGGGCATCTCATGGGGCCCCCTACTGCCCCCGGGCCCTCGGGCAGTGCCCGAGTTTCCAAATGGTCAGTCCGCCCCTGGGCTGTAATCGACACCTGAACCTGAATCCACTGTTCTTTTTAAAATCGCACTGAATCTGCATCAGCCGTGCACCGGACATATATTAACAGGCACCATAGGAAACAATGTTATTTCACATGTCATGCGGATTGGATGCGGTTCAAAACGCATTCAATCCATATATATGTGAACGGACGCTAATTGTTTTGGGTTCAATGTGAAGTCAGGTGAGAGGCTCTACAAAGCAGGGCTTCTGGACCCTCCCACCCCTCCAGAAACTGCTGGATTTTTCTGGAAGAGGGAAGGAGGCCTAGATTAGCATGATTAAGGGCATTTGGCCAATCCCCAGACAGGAGGCCAGGTAGTGTGACTACGACACTTTTTGTCACTCCTATTTTAGGCATGGTATAATCCATTGCAATGGAAGTCTTTGAAATTGCCTTTTGCAGTGAAAATATTCAGAAAATAACAGTAACAGTGATTATAAAGTGTATGGACTGGAAGCATTAAGATGCCCCCCAGCAGAGTTTTCAAATAAACATGTTATAAAGGACATCATGGGTATAAGTGTCCTTAAACTTTACTCTTACCTCTCAAGTGTTTTTTTTTCCTAGAGATGTCATTCATAATATCACAGGCAAAACGCAAGGCAAACAGTTTAACACATTCTGAAAGTGAACTACTTGCAAAAAATTGTGTAACCACACAAAGATAAAAAACTCAGATGTATTAATGGCCTGCAAATGAAGATACAATTTCTGGGTAGAGTGTCTATAGTTTTATTAAGATTTCTAATACAGATTAGAAACAAAGTTCCCACAACAGCAGTTTGTTTAAAGATGTTCCTCGCTGTCTTCTACTGAAAAAGATGTCAAGAAAAGAGAATCCTTGTGTTGTTTGTTCTTTATAGACACTATTTTCTGATTAGTGAGCTTCTTGTGTTTGCTGGGCTTCATGGCTATGGTGGTCTTCTTCGGCCTCTATGATATTGTAATCTGTAGAAAAAATGGAATGTGCATTAGATATTGTTAAGACCTTAATTGTTAAGACCTTAATTGGTAAGCTAGTGGAATCTGATGAATGAAATGTATGGATTAGCCACTAACATAAAAAATATTCATCTTTATATTGCAATTTATATCATGGGTAGACCCATCCCATTTGCCTTTTATGACACATCCCTCATTAACAAAAAGCTATAATGGTCCTTCTCTAGAGCTACAAGAATTGGTGGAGAGAATAAATTGGGAATTTAAATGTGCCTTAAAGAGGACGTATAATACAGAACTAATAAAACATGAACAACTTTATTATATAATTAAAAAGTATTACTAATACCACAGGAATGGATGAGTTGTCATATCAAATTTAGTAAGCAGATGCAAGTTTACAGTTTCGAGATTGCATAGAGGATTGACACATTTTGTGATATTCTCCTTTCCACACACTACCGCATGGTCTACAGAAAATGGTGTCCCAGCCATTTCTGCAGACCATGTAGCAGTATGTGGACAGATGAGGCTTCACCAAAGGAGGGTGTACTAAACCATTAGAATCTCTTGTTTAACTCTGATAGTAGCAGATGTGTTTGGTTTTGGAACAATATTGGACACTAATGGGCACAACAGATACCAGAGATACACGATCTTTTGGATGCACATTTGTTATTTTTGGAGGTTTATCATCTTGACACAGTTGTTTAATAAACAGTTTTTAGCCATCTCATCTATTTATACAAGGGAGTGGATCCTGAAGAAGAGACAATACCCTGAAATGCATTGATCTACTATGCCAGCTGGAAACTGTAAACATGTATCTGTGCACTAAATTTGAAATGGCAACTCACCCTTTCCTGTGGTTTTGTAATATTTTCGTTATATAATAAAGTTGTTCATGTTTTAACAATTGTGTGTTATATTTTTGTTTACATTTACATACAGGACAAGCTGTCCAGATAAGTGACAGTAACAGATGGGAGAAACTACAATACTCCCAAAAGGCAAGAAATGCGTAATATCTATGTATTTTTTTTCTTTGCTCATTCAATAGTTCAGTCTTAAATGCCAGATATACAATTTGTAACATTCTGTCAAAAAGTGAAAACTAAATTATGACTTCATTTAGATGTGCGATTGGAGACAATTCTTGGTTGAGCAGTGTTTTTAACGCCCACCAAATGTCCCCCTTGGGCTGTTGGGGTATTTACATGCTGCGGCTGTAATACTTTGCTTCACACCCAGAGTAAAGTCAACCCAATATGTAGCAATCACTGGGCAGCAAGCCTGCTGAACGCTACACATTCAGGCAAACAGGGAAGAGCCACAAAATGTCCCAAAACCATGTTCGATGCATGCAGTTTCGACGTGTTTGTTGCCAAAATGGGGTTAAAACAGGTAGTGAGGAGGCATCACATCACTTCATCACTACATGTCAATAGTCTCTAAAGCGCAACATGAACATGGAACATGGTTCAGTGGAAAGATAGATTTACACACTAAATCTACCCTAAGCCCGGGTTCAAACTGATGTGGTGCAGCACATCGCATGTGATTCACACAGGGACCGCACCGCATTCCTGTGCAAATTGCATGCGATTTCTGTGTGGTGCAATTTGAGCCATACACTTTGTATGGGTCAAAAAGCACCACATCTGCACCAAAATCTGTGTAGGACCCTTTTTTTGTTCGCACCAGAACCTGATCGCGTGGGTGTGAACACCCATGCGATCCGATTCCGCACATCGTATCGTGTTTTGTGAACAGATTTTGGGCTGTCGTTAACGTAAAATACATGCCCGCATTGGTTCGCATGAATGGGGTGCAATTATGATGTGGTGCGGAAATCACACAGAAACCAGTGCAAATTCTGCATAGCATCAGCATCAACCCAGGCTGAGGGTCAATATTATATTTCTTAGGCTTAGTAAATCCAATAATCAGAAGGTATAACATTGTTACACATATTGTATTTGTATTAAAGCTGACATTTAATCTGCTAATATAATGTCTTCCCTGGTTCTTCCTTTCCCCCTCATTTACATGCTAATTCAAATATGAAATAAAACCCTTCAATTTTCATTACATACCAAATTTTAGATCCACTGACATCACAAGTTTTTGTGCTTCGCTATGCAATGCAGGCATTTCCTCCCATTTCATCATTACTGGCGGGAGGGGCCAGCAGGATTCTGTACATAGCTTCCTGAAAATATCACAGCACCCTGCTTTACTACACCTTCCAAGAGCCCTTAGTCCTCATTCAAGCAGTAGGCCGGGTCTTGGAGGAGTTATGGTGCTATGGGCTGAATGCCTGAAGGAGTGGGCATTCCTAAACAGGTTGCATTCACATGCAGCCTGCTCTAAGTAATACTAAGCCTCCATGTTTGAAAGGATTAAAACAAAAGGAATAAATGAAGTGGGCCAGGGACAATCAGGCTTGGGAGGAAATGCTGGATGGTGCTGGATATCCTCCAGCCAGGAAGTGAGGCAGGTTACAGCTACTGACTTGCTACTACTTCTAATGAAAAGCTCACAGTATACAGTGAAATCGGAGTCATTTCAGTACAAGAGATGACTCTGTAACACTGTGCAAGACTGCAGGTAAGGCTGAAATTCACTTTTAGGTTCACACCTATGTGGTGCGGGACACACCATGATCCCTGCGTGTTTCCTGCACTGCATTGCAATCACACTGCCCTAGCGATCTGCTGCACCAGATCGCATAGTACGAAAGGACCATGAGATCCGGTAGCAGTGTGGCTCCAAAAAAGGTGAATGCATGTCTGCGGTGTGGTTCCTGTGCTATTCACATGTGATTCATAGTGCGAACTGGGGCTTAAATAAAAGGAGATGTTGGAATATTTACTTATTATACCCACCATGGAAGAAACACCATTTGGTATTCTCAATGCTGCTATCAAAGCAGCAATTTTTCTTCTCACACTCTTCCTTGGTGATTGTTGGTCTACCACAGTCCTTCCTTTCAGAGGCACGTACATTGCAGTGAGCTATTAACGGGGAGAAAAATGTACAGGTCATTAGCAAGGTTAAGGCTGGGATCTCCTGAAGACTGATATTAGACGAAGATTTAGTTTCGAATGATATGCAGAAGATAAGACAAATCCCAAAAAAGCTAAACTCCTTACCTTTACTGCAAGGGGTGTTATACGTAGCATGAGCTTTGATCACTGAGGAAGAAGAACATAAGGTTAGGATACCAGGAGGGACATGGTAAACACTGACATTTCCGATGGCCAACTTCTCCTTTTTAAAATACCCTGACTTTAAAACTGTTGGGGGGGGAGGTGGCTGTGAGGGGAAGGAAGAAAAAATCAAGTGAGTTGGGGGGGGGGTAGGAGTGTAGTTATATAAGGGTGAGGTAAGTGAAGCAGTAAAAAGGGAAGTAGGTAAATCGATGAGAGAGGAAGAGGGAGTAAAATCAAGGGAAAGGCAAGGGTCTCAGCCATAGGAAGTGACAGATAAAAGAAAGAGAATGGGAACAGCAGGGAAGGGGGAGGTAATTAATAACCTCTTCACGCCGATAGTACACGCAAATATGCGACCTCTTGGTGGCTGGGCCTTGACGCTGAGTGGCCACATATTTGCGTACCATTTGTAAACAAACATGTGCTGAGAGCGCACGCCTTGCGCACTCCCAGCACGTGTCGGCATTCCACGGAAAGGTCCCGATCTCTCCTTGCGATCGGGACCTTTCCAATCATGTGACTGCCATGACAGCCAATCACAGCATTCACATGACCCTAAACTCCGCCCTGCCTCCCAGCATCAGAAAAACCTTATAGGACCCAGGCAGAAACATAAAAATATTTAAATTTAACAAACTCTCTATAACTATTTTTGTCTTTGTTTTGCATGGGAAGGTCTAAAGAATAGTAGGTGAATGACAGAGGTTGGCAGCTGTGCAAGAATATACAAGTAGACACATTTTTTGCATTTAGTATTTTTGTCTACAGGAGCCTGGAAAGCATTGCACCAGCGATCAGTAGATCACTGATGCCATGCAGGTCTCCTGCAGACCTGTCAGAATATCTGCTTGCTGTACGGGATGTACGAGCAAGCAGATATTCTGACAGGAAGCTTCAATGAAGCTTCAGTGCTCCACAGCTCCATGGTAGTTCATTGAAAACTACAAGCCGACAGCTGCTAAGGCTGTTGGGACTTGCAGTTCATTCATTCACAGACGTCCTTGAATGAATGACGTGGCTGTGTGGGCGGAGCCCTGCATGGCCATGCTGGTTTAAAATTTGACAGCTAGTATGGGAAAACTTCTCTCCCTAATATCTGTCAGAGGGAGGAGGGCAGCGGGCGGTGGCTGCAGCTATGGGGACATGTTACAAGTTCCACCATAAAAACGGGTGGAACATGTAACATGATCCCAAAGGTGAACTTATCCTTTAAACCTAAATCCTTGATTTTTTGCAAATATTCTTTGTTCCACAAATACTTTATACCAGTTAGAAACTAAATCTTAATTGTCATTACATTTTGTATTTATCAGAGCTTAGAAATAGTAGGATTAGCATATGAATACATGGACACCATGCTAGGTTTTGTGTAGGCGTGTTCACACTGAATGCCATAATATTCCTGGAAACAATCATTCATGCCTGGATAACTTTTCCCTGTAACTGTATAGTCTCATATACCTGGAACGTAGTAATCAAACACTTCAACATTGGCAGGATGCAGGTTGTCCACATGTGTTTCTTGTTTGATAGTGAACTCAAAATTTACGATAGAATTGTCAAGCTTTAGGAGAAAACAATAAGACAGTGAATAATAATAAAGTAACAACCTGTGGATAGCATCAGTATCTAAAACTAAGAAACAAAAAAGGAAACCTGGATCTGGAGGAGGTGCTGGGAGCAGGCTGGGTTCTTAAAGTGAAACATCATGCAAATATTAAAAAGGGATATTCATAATTTACAGATATACTGCACTATATTAGCTTATCTTTTTGCAAGTCATTTTTGAAGATGAGATTGAGATGAAGAATCGTGGAGAAGACAGAGATATATAGATAGACAGATTGATGCATGCAGCTAGATCACCTATTTATTTCAGCTTATTTCCGCCCTTCCTGGGGGCCTCATCCGCATTCCTAATATTGGACCCTCACAGTACAATAGTTGTTGCTGTATGCATAGTACTATCCCCCACATTCCCAGTATACATAATATACTACCAATTTACAACTTACAACAAATACAGATTTCAGCTAAATGTAACATTCAACACAAAACATATTAAATATTTCACTCTCCAATCTAATAATAATAATAATCTAAAGATTATTCCATTATATGTGGTCACATACTATAGGCCCGTGTATACTAAACCCTTGTTCTCCCCTTAGTGGTAAAATCCAAATTAACAAATACATGTCATTATTCATGGGAAGCTAATAACCAATTCCACATCTGTATTACAAACAACCTAATGTTACACCACCCCTAGTGGTCACTTCCTTTATAACAAATAAATGCAAAAGTGAATTCCCCATACTTAAACATACATATGCATTAATTTTAAAATATAAAACCCAAAACCTAATGTTCATCCATATTACATAACCCCCTCACCCATTACAATTGTATTGTAAACCCTTATCTATTGTATTATTAAAAATTAGAAATAAAACAGTTCAGATCCAATTCTACATTTAACCCTTTGGATTTTACCACAAGGGGGAGAGAACAAAAGCTCATTATGCATACTATATACTATAGTATGTGACCACATATAATGGAATAATATTTAGCTGAACGCTGTATTTATCATGCAAGATGTTGTAAATTGGTTTAACCATCTGTGTAGTATATTATGTATATTGGGAATGTGGGGCATAGTAGTATGCATACAGCAACATATATTGTACTATGAGGGTCCAGTCATGAAGAATGCGGACGAGGTCCCCAGGAAGGGTGGAAATAAGCGCCCTATAAATAATAGGTGATCTAGCTCCGTCTGAGGTTCATGGCCTATGAGGAAGTCAATTGATGGTGAAAGGAGGAAGTGATGTCAAACGCAAACCTGAAGTACCACAGCAGTCATTTTAGAGAAGGTCTTGTGTATCTGAAATTCATATAAGCAGAATTTCAAGTAACAAAGTGTTTTTCTTAGATATACTGCTGCACTATGGCTTTCCTATTTTAATTACATGTATCGGTAGTGTGCGGCATGGTGGAGCATAAAGAAGAGTTTGAGATACAGAAAGCACTATAAGCATAGCGGAGAGCCTTTTTAAGAGGCGCATTTATAACTGACATCTGGTAAGGTGTATGACATGGAGGGAAGGTGTGGAGCACTATTGGTGAATGGAATACACATGATGGATTATTCACTTTGTTTATGTCAGTTTCACTATTAAGGGATATTAATGATTTAAAGATATACTACACTATAGTAGCTTATCTTTTTGCAAGTCATTTTTGAAGCAATTGAGATGAAGAATCATGGAGAAGATAGAGATATATATGTAGATTGATGCATGATATTTTTGACTGAGGGTAAGAGTAGATATTAAGGATGGTGGTTGGTATTGTGATCACATGGTGAAGAGATTGGAGCAGGTTGTTTCACTGGGAAAGCGAGCACATTAATGTATTATACATTTTGGAACATACTACACTATATAGATTATTTTTGATTTTATGGTATTTGGGAGCACACGCAGTGGATGTGACAGGAGTGAAGAGCAGGAAAAGAGGATTGGTTTACATGCAACACTCTATTGCATTAAGAGCCCAGGGAGAATATTGCATTAAGAGCCCAGGGAGAATATAAGGAGACTATTATCTGTAAATGGACTTTTGAATGACTGAATAATTTATAGTTCACTGGTTTAGCACAAGTATTAAAATGTAGTGATGACTTCCCTCTGGCCTTTCTCATCTGTGTGCCAGTTCCATATCAGCATGCCAAAGTTTGGAAGCCCGAGAGGCCAGGCAACTTGTATTTTCCAGAGAAGGTCAGAGGTTAAATCCTCAATTTTTTTAAGCAACACACTTAGTATAAGGACTTGTGTCCCTCTTTAGGCTACTAACATTGATTACCTGTCTTAAAAGATGAAATGGCTGCAAAATATTGGGAGACACAGAAGAATTTCAACAGAAAAAACAAGCATATACATACTGAATGAATCCCTGTTAAAAGTAATGTAATGGGCAGGTATTATACCTACAATATAACCTACATATCAAAAAACATAAAACTCTTACATCGTCCAAGTAGATTTGGATCTCATCAGGTAAGACATCTACTCTTCTCACTCTGTAATTCCTCTTCAGCTAGAATATAAAGTAAATTACAAGCATGAAGGATCTGTAAGAGACCTTTTATTTACATGAGGCCATGTAGGTCACAATTGCTAAGGCAAGAGCAGTTCTAATTGCTCATAGTAACCAATCAGATTATTTTTTTCTTTCATTCTCCCATACTGCTTTATGAACATGAAATTTAGAATCTAAATGACTGTTAAAAACAGTTCTTCCTTCACTGTCTTTCTTAAAATAAGCCAACATTGAGGTCAGGAGCTTGCCTGGCTTTCCCGCTTAAAGGATCAGTAAACTGAAATGTGGCTTACACACTGTAAAACTAAAATGAAATCATATATGCATCACACAACTTGACTGAGGTTATTGAGTGGTTTGTCACTGTGCTACTGATACAGACCTCCTCTAAATGGGCACACATTCAGGATAACTGTTCCTAGTCTCTCCCTATTGCTCCGAATAGGGACATCAAATGATGCACAGATGTTCGGGGGGGACAGAATTATTATTCTGCATAGCGTATTCATTCTCAAAGAAGGTGTGAGCAACAGCTATCTGCATGTTTGGCCTGCACTTAACTTATGCTAAGTTTTGCCAAACCCATTGACAAATCAACATTTCAAGTTTTGCAGAAACCCACACAGCTGGCTTAATGCATTTACTTGGACACATCAGCAGTGCATAAGTGAAAACTGAGAACATGATTGGGAAAAACTGACCTTTGCCTTGCCAGGTGGCACTGGAAACACCCTCTGAAAGCATAACCCATGCCTTCACAGTGAGTTATATAGTTATAAAGCTAAACGCTCTGAGATAGGCATTTTGTTCTCACTAAAATCTAAAAATCTATTGTGAGGATTTCTTGTATTTGAATATTTTTGCACTTTACTTACTTTCACATTTATTGCTTGTTATCCTTTTGTTTTCAAATGGATTCATGCATTTATTTAGGCATTGGTGCTGGAATTGTTTATGTATTTGCACTTTAAAGGTTTTGTATACTGGCCTTACAAGCTGCCTTGAAGGATTTCTTTACCCTAGCACTGACTTCCCTTGGATTTACTGTCCTCTCCAGATGGACAAGCTGGTGTACATCAGGAGAATCTTCCAAAAGATTGGAAGGAACTCTACAGCTGGATTCCTGAGGCACCAAGCAAAGTGTAAAAAAACCCAGTCTGTCCAGACACTGGACTGATTTGTTCCATGATAACAAAATGTTGCGTTGCAGATGTCTGGAGTGAAATTGGAAAAAGATCTGCCTCAAAGAAGGCATCAGGCCCACAGCTCTCATGCAGAAGCTGAAAGTCAGATAGCTTTCTGCATTGAAGTGTTGAACAAAGTGCTTCCCAACTGTTCCCACAACAGGAGGATGTCAAAGTATCCCACAATGGGAATACCCCAAGAACACAGCAAGGCCAACATTGAAGGGTAAATATCAAAGGTACAGAAGACAGACCAGGGCTATGAACTGGTAGCATAGTGATCCTGCAGCAAACTGCAGAAAGCATTGGTTTGCAAGAATTATGTGCACATGTAAGTAGGCATCTTTAATGTCCGCAGAAGTGTTAACGTCTCCCTGTTGAAGGGAAACAATGACAGATCTTGGTGATTCCATCTGCAAAATTGGTGCTTGAATATACACAGCCAAGACTTTGAGATCCAAGATGGGGTAAATGTCCTCCTTGGGTTCTAAAAATAGGGAACAGGTTGTAGTAAAACTCCTGAAAACATTCTGCCAGGGCACTGAATGACATCCTCAATGAGAACATTTAGAGCCGGTCTAAAGAGGCGCTGTCCCTTGAGGGCCATGCTATTCAAACACTTCTTAATAAATAGTTGCTTAGTCCAGCGTTTTAGCTATGGTGCCCTCCATATGTAACAAGAGACATGCAAGAAAAAAAGCTAGAGTCACAATAAGCCATCACAGCTGAAATCTAGCAACACAGCCATTTGCTGCTTGTTTTCAATAAGCAGAGAGTCAACAGCTGTGATGTCAAGATCCCTTTCCAGGGATTTTGCCCAGTCAGCATTGGTCTGATAAAGTAAAATCATAACCAGAATAGGGTGAAGGAACAAAGTTCCTACAAAGCACCTTCCAACTGCTTACCAATTGGGCCCCTAAAAGCACCGGTATGGTATTCCCCTTGTACGGTGAGACACAGTGGGATCCACAGTGGGAATAGACCACTCCTTAACAAAATTCACATCAAATGGATACAAGGCCAGCTTCGTATAGAAACAGCTAGTGCATTAGTGCAAAGGGAAGATCTTTGTGGCCCAAGGGGCTCTGTATTACACCAGGTTTCAGGAGCACAAATAAGAGCTGAAATAGTCTCCTTTAGGTTGGGAGGAATAGCAGAAGACTGCAATGCCTCAGAATACTCTCAGTATCCTGTACCCACTTGTAGTACTCAGCTGATAAAAAAAAAAAACTGGTGTGTCATAGCAATGTAAGAGTGCAGGCAGTCTTGTGCTTGATCCAGAAAGCAGAGAAACATCAGGGAATGAGAAACTGCACACCAATTGCTGAACAGGTGGAGAGGAGTGTGAACGGCCTTAGCCTTGAGTTCACATTCCTCTGCAAGCGTTGAGCTAGTGGTGTGCAGTGTCTCTCATCCCCTCATGCCTCAGAGTAAATCTCTTCTGATAAAGGATTTATCAGAATCTCTGCAGTCAATGGCTCAGAAGCCACTAAAGATGCAAGTCAAATCAGATAACTTTTTTGGACTGTATTGAAAAGATTACACAAATTGAAATATATACACTATATTGCCAAAAGTATTGGGACACCCTTCCAAATCATTGGATTCAAGTGTTCCAATCACCTCCATGAGGTATAAAACCAAGCACCTAAGCATGTAGACTGCTTCTACAAACATTTTTGAAAGAATGGGTCGCTCTCAGGAGCTCAGTGAATTCAAACGTGGTACCGTGATAGGTTGCCACCTGTGCAATAAGTCCATCGGTGAAATTTCCTTGCTACTAAATATTCCACGGTCAACTGTTAGTGATATTATAACAAAGTGGAAGCAACTGGGAACAACAGCAACTCAGCCACATAAAATGACAGAGCGGGTCAGCGCAAGCTGAAGCACACAGTGCGCAGAAGTCGCCAGCTGTCTGCAGAGTCAATAGCTAAAGACCTCCAAACTTTGTGTGGCCGTAAGTTTGGTGGAGGGGGGATTATGGTTTGGGGTTGTTTTTCAGGGGTTGGACTTGGCCCCTTAATTCCAGTAAATGGAACTTGTAAGGCATCAGCGTACCAAGACATTTTGGACAATTTCATGCTCCCAACTTTGTGCGTGGGTTTCCTCCAGGTACTCCAGTTTCCTCCCACACCCCAAAGACATGCTGGTAGGTGAATTGATTCCTGTCCAAATTGTCCCTAGTATGTATATGTATGAATGTGAGTTAGGGACCTTAGATTGTACGCCCCTTGAGGGTTAGGGACTGATGTGAATGTACAATATATATATGTAAAGCGCTGCATAAATTGACAGCGCTATATAAGTACCTGAAATAAATAAATATGTATTTTTTGTCTTGGTTCTTTTGGCACTTATAGGGAACACAAATAGAGGAAGCAGTGCAGTGTTTTTCCCTGTTTTCTAATCACGTTCTGCGCATTCATTAATTATGCTAACTTTTTTGCACATGCACAGATGCTTATCGAGTCTTTTAATACCCATAGAATGGCAGAGACCATAGTATGTCTGTGCATGCATATCATTTAGTGAGATTTTGTGCATGTACAAACACACTGTGGGTCTCTGTCAGGTCCTATAGACCAATGGTATGTCTGAACATGTTCAGAATATTGATCCAGCATGGTGGCATTGGTGTAGGACTCTACAGAAGAACATTGGTTTGGAAGAAGACAACGCTGGACTCCAAAGACCAGTAAGCATCTATTCTTTCACTTACATACAGGAACAATTATCAAGCAATAAAAATAAAATTGTAGCTTTGGAATAGTGGAATTCCTCGTTTGCATCTGGTTTATTCCAGCGATTGAGATGTTAATACAGTTTACTGTATTTTACAGCAACTCCAGTAGAACATCTTCTTTCACTTTTCTACATTTAGTACATGGTCTCCAAAAAATGATCCTGCCTATGTACAAAAGACAGTGTTTATACTCTTTTCCTGACTTTGGTCCACCAACAAATTAGAATGAACCTTGGACTGACTGGGGATTTTCCTTGATTTACCTTGACTTGCTTCTTATCAATGAACTACTTCAGTTGAAGACTACTTACATCAATCCTTCTACAAGTATATGACACCTACCTTCCTAATGCTTTTTTTATCTGCGACATATCCTGATAAAAGTTCTGCTTTAATCATAACCATGTTGGTTTTAGATCGTTTTCCTAAGTATCTGCAAAAGAACAAATTAATTTAAGTTGAATCAGCTCTAGGTTCTCATTTAACAGTCTTTAAATCAGGAACAAGAAAAACCTAATATCTCTCAAGCACATTACAGGTGTCATTACATTTTAAAAAAAGATTGTTTAGCTTGCTTCTTTTTCAATGGTGTTTATTTGTTTCATCTTAAAAGAAAGGGGGTTACAAGACAGGCCAGTCAATTACACATCCATTTCTCAACAAACTGCAGCCTGTCTGGGGGGGATGGTACAAATAACGTACAATAAGCAACAAGCTATGACAATCAGCAGTCATTGATAGCCAAATGGGTCCCATTGGGACTTGTGAATGTAAGGTCAATAACAATAAAGACAGGAGAAAAGAAAAAAACTAGAGTGGAAACTTTTGTCAGACCTAGCGTTGGAGACCGCTGTGACCTGTGTGGAAAATTGGGCTCCCTCCAACTCTCTGCAGGCAATGAGGGGGGGGGGGCACCCCCCATGGCTTTGAGCTAACTATATCAGAAGAAGGGAAAAGTAAAAAGAAGGGAAAAGAATAGATAAGAGGGAGGAGAAATAAAAAGAGGGAGGAAAGAAAAGAATGGAAGAAGAGAAAGGAAAAGAGTAGACGGGGGAGGGGAGGGGGGGGAAGGACCTAGGGGGAGGAAAGGACGAGGAGTGTGGGGTGTAGGATTTGTATCCTCTATAGGTTCCACATATTACCCACAATCCAGCCTAGAACGGTGCTGAGAGATATTTCATCCAGTGGTCCCAAGTTTTCTCAAAATAGGCCATCCTATCATGAATAGTGGTCAGACATTCATTGACCATTATCCAGGTCAGCTTGGCCTTTAGGAGGTCAGGGGAAACCGTGGGGGATCTCCAAGAACGCGCAATGAATATTCTGGCAGCAGTAAATATGAGTGCAATCAGAGGTTTCACATATCCAGGTATTCCCTCCACCGGTTTTCCTAGGAGGGCCTGTTGTGGAGATTTGATAAGATTCACCTAGTTAAGTGAATATATAAAATTATAGGTGTAAATCCAAAATTGCTTTACTTTGCTGCAGGTCCACTATGTACGGAGAACCATTCCCTCCTTTCCGCAGCAACAACTGGAGGAGGCCCATTGAACAAAACACGCCAAACGGGAAGGTACTAAATACCACCATAGGAAGACCTTATAATTAGCTTTGATCAATGAAATATTGATATCATTTTTAGAGTTAAGCTGCGCCAGTTTATTCCATTCCGCTGCCTCTAATACTTCCCTCAGGTTTCGTTCCCATCTTTCTATGTAGGGTAGTTTGGTGGAGTCCTCATGCAAAATAGTATATATCTTAGATATATGACCAGTATGCTTATCCAGGGTTCTACAAAAATGTTCCATTGAAGTCGATGAAAACAGGTCACTGGTGCTTCTAAGAGTATGGAGAAAGTGGGTTATATGAAAGAAGCGATGTAGCTTAGTGGGGAGGTGATGTTTCTCCTGAAATACTATCTTAGGTATTGGGCCCCTATGATCGCAGAAATCTGCTAAACAAAGAAAACCTTTATTGGTCCACCATTCAAAATCGGAAGGGCCGAGACTCAAGGGGAACGCCAGGTTGCCCAATAAAGGGGCTAGGGGAGTGTGGGGGGATTTAAAGCCACCCTTACTAATCTATCCCATAGGGAAAGGGAAAAATATAATGTGGGACACAAAAATTGCAGGTCTGTCCCTGGCTTTCAGCGACATCATACGGCTAATTGGAGTATTAGGGACATGTGATGATTAGCTTGCTTCTTTTTGAACAATGTATGTAGATGTGTTCTGATGCAGGGTAATCAAATATGTATGTTTACGTATGTGTCTACCAACCTGTAATACCCCTTCATTACCAGGTCATTTTTCAATGCTGTAATAGCGTAACTGACAATTTTTTTTTTTATTTTTATTTTTACAATATAAAGGAAAAACATATTAAAGAAAAAATGCCACATTCTTAGTTTGCAAAGGTGTCAGGTGCTAATTAGGCTGATCTTTGTGCTGGACCCAAATCTGTTACAGTAGCAATTATTATTATTATTATTATACAGGATTTATATAGCGCCAACAGTTTGCTCAGCGCTTTACAATATAACGGGAGACAATACAGCAACAATACAGTTCAATACAAGAGGGATAGGAGGGCCCTGCTCCTTGGAGCTTACAATCTAGGAGGGAGAGGCTAGTGGTACAAAAGGTAGTAACTGTGGGGGATGGACTGGTTGGAAGAGTAGAAGATTCCATTATTAGCTGAGGACAGGATAGGCTTCCCTGAAGAAATAGGTTTTCAGAGATCGCCTAAAAGTGAGCAGAGTAGGTGATAGTCTGATAAATTGGGGTAGAGAGTTCCAGAGGATGGGAGAAGCTCTGGAGAAGTCCTGGAGACAAGCATGGGAGGAGGAGACAAGGGAGCTAGAGAGTAGGAAGTCTTGTGAGGAGCGGAGAGTACGGTTTGGGTGGTATTTGGAGACAAGATCAGTGATGTAATTTGGGGCAGAGTTATAAATGGCTTTATACGTTATTGTTAGTGTTTTGAATTTTATCCGTTGGGCAATGGGAAGCCAGTGAAGGGATTGGCAGAGAGGGGTGGTAGATACGGAACAGTTAGTAAGGTGGATGAGTCTGGCAGCAGCATTCATGATAGACTGAAGAGGGGATAGCCTGCAATTAGGTAGGCCAATGAGGAGGGAGTTACAATAGTCAAGGTGAGATATAACAAGGGAATGAATAAGTTGCTTAGTGGTTTCCAAGGTTAGGAACAGCCGTATCTTGGAGATGTTGTGAAGGTGAAGTCTACAAGATTTGGACAGTGATTGGATTTGGGACTAAAAGGACAGATGGGAGTCTAGGATTACACCTAGTACCTGGCATTACGGGAGGGACTGATGATTGTGTTATTGATCTTGATGGAGAAGTCAGGGGAGGGGGCACAGGCTGGGGGAATACTAAGAGCTCAGTTTTCGAAAGATTGAGTTTGAGGAAGTGGAGTGACATCCATGTCGATATGTCACTTAGTAGGTTAGTAATGCAAGAGGAGACTGAAGGGTGAGGTGAGGGGTAGAAAGATAGATTTGTGTGTCATCAGCATAGAGATGGTACTTAAAGCCATGGGAGTTTATCAAGTGACCAAGGGAGGAGGTGTAGATGGAGAAGAGAAGGGGTCCAAGGACAGAACCTTGAGGGACCCCTACAGAAAGAGGGAGTAAAGAGGAGGAGGCAGCGTTATAGGTAACGCTGAAGGAGCACTGCGATAGGTAGGAGGAGAACCAGGAGAGAGGAGAATCTCTGAGGCCAAGAGAGTGGAGTTTTTTGAGGAGGAGGGGATGGTCAGCCGTATCAAAAGCCGCAGAGAGGTCAAGTAGTAAGAGTACGGAGTAGTGGCCATTGGTTTTAGCAGTTAGTAGATCATTAGTGAGTTTTAGTAGGGCAGTTTCAGTCAAGTGTAGTGAGCGAAAGCCAGACTGTAAAGGGTCAAGAAGGTTGTTGTCAGTGAGGTGGGAGCTCAGGCGATTGTAGACTAAGCGTTCTAGGAGTTTAGAGGTAAATGGCAGCAGGGAGATGGGTCTTAAGTTGTTCAGGTTGGTGGGGACCAGGGAGGGCTTTTTAAGTATGGGAGTGATGTGTGCATGCTTTAGAGGGGAGGGAAGGCACTAGTAGAGAGGGAAAGATTGAAGATGTGAGTGAGGGAGCATAGGACGGAAGAAGAGGGTGACCACAGTAGTTGTGAGGGGACAGGATCCAGGGGGCAGGTTGTGAGACAGGCTTCTGAGAAAACCTTAGTGACCTCTTCGGTAGTAGCAAGGTCAGAGGAAAGTGTTGAGGGAGGTTTAGTATAAGGTATGCTAAGTGGGATGGATGTCTGTGCAGTGGCGATGCCCCTATGAATTGCGTCAATCTTGTTTTTGAAATGATTTGCAATCTCGTGAGCAGTGAGTGAGGTACTGGGTGGAGGTGGAGAAAGTAGATAATTTAAAAATGTTGTTTGACATGATTGCATGTGTGCAACACTTCTGAATAGTAGTTAATGAATCTTGACCTGGCCTAAAAAATAGCTACATTACAACACCGAAGTAAAATAAAACATGTAGCGCCTTTAACATACACTCATGAAATCGATCTTTGTATAGCTGTGGAGACCCTAGGATCCTAGGATCCTTGGCCCAGGCTGTCCTCAGGGCTTTTCCTTCTATTCTAGTTGATATTAAAGCCTATACCTTCTAAATGCTAAGCTCCATCATTCAATCATCAAATGGTAAAGTCCCTACTACCCACCAGGGATTTGCCTTTTGGACAGCTAAATGAAAGAGGTAGGGCTTACTGTTAGGATATATGGCATAACTCTGGCTTAGAGAAAATTCAAAGCCCCTTGTAAAGCCTGGGCTTAGGATCTAGGGAACTCCAGTGCGACCTGGGGGGTGATTTCAAAACTAACACAGATAACCTGATGCCTGCATATCAGTAGAGTTGTTACAGAAGGCACTTTTTAGCCACCTTCATTTCCAGTATACACTGGATGTTTGCTCTCACCTGGTTTCTATATGGACATCAAACATTTTCTTTGCATCTTGGGTGCAAGCAGCTGGATCGGTGCTTACATTGACAGCAAAGTGGACATCATGCTCATCAGGAACACTGGCATAATGTAGATGTGCCTACAAAGAGATATGCAATCAGGACATTCATATTTTTGTTTTGCTTTTTTCAATATTACTTTCTGTCCATGAAATCTTTAGATTAATGCTGCAGTGTGAGTGCTAATACTGCACTCACACTGCAGAGGTTTAAAGCTTGTTTCTGTCTAGGGCACATGTGTCAAACACTAGGCCCAGAGGCCAAATCTGGCCCACAAGACCATTTCATGTGGTCCTCGAACCTCCCCTGCAGCTACGGCACCCCCTTGATCTCCGTGCCCACCTTGTCTCAGCAGTCTTCATTTCTCTGTGCAGCTGCAGAGAGGCTCGTCTCTGCCCCCACATCTCAGCAGTCAGCAGGAGAGAGGAGGGCAGAACTCCTCCTACAGATCCTGCATCTCCATTTGCAGCTGCAGCACCTTCTCATTTCCACACCCCATTTCAGCTTTCAACAGACCTCAGCAACTGAGTCCAGCTCACCTCTGGTCCTTCTCCAGACCTTGCACTTTCTGCTTCCCAGCTCCGCCCCAGCTTTTTCCTGGCAGCAGCACAAGGTAAGGGGGCACACTGTGCTGTAAGGGAGAGTGGGGGATTTTTGACTTCTGATTGTGGGGGGATCCTGACATCTGATGTAAGGGTAGACGTGTGCTCTGGGCATCTAGTCTTAAAGATACCACTGGCCCTTTGAGGGCAACCAGGATGCTGATGAGGCCAACGATAATATTGAGTTTGATACTCCTGGTCTACAGGATGGTAAAACCACTTTTATGTACCTAATCCTCCATTCTCCCAGCATATAGCACTCCCCTGTGCTGCAGCAGTGGACTGTCCCTTGGAGTTCTCATATCCATTGCAGGGCTTTGATCCCTGCATAGGTCTTGATGACATCAGGAACCTGTCCAGCAGCATGGAGGAGACTGCAGATGTGGAGGATCAGGTAATTAAAACTGCTGTACTCAGTCCCCATACACATAAATGAGCAGTTAAGCTTTGCAGTGCGAGTGCAGCCCCTATTGTAAGGGAGGAATTTTAGTTTTGCTGGGGTTTAATTTTAAAATAAACCTGTCCTTTGTCTATACAGAGCAAAATAACAGGTTCACGTATATGCTGTAGCACCAGCTGCACATCCTTATCTTTTCTCCCCTGTTGCTCCATTTACCCACAAGAGCAAAGTGAACATCTGTGTAAGGTTCAAGTTGCTATGGTTGGAGTATATACAGGGCTAAAAATTATACATTTGATTTTGAGATTATGATGATTTATCAAAGTAAAGAATAAAGTGTACAAACACGTTTCTTTTCATTTACTGATACATGTTGTGTAGGCAGTGCAGGTCACCACACACACACGCGCACGCACACACGCACACACGCACACACGCACACACGCACACGATATTTGCAAAAGCACAACCATCATGTTGTTTCTTTTATCCATTTCCAGAACTGCTGTTTTCTTATTTACCTTCAGTTCAGTCCTTCTCATACTGTTCTACCCATTTGCCTCCAACACCTCCCTGTGCTACTCCTCCTATTCACTTCCAGTGCCCCTCTGTATTGCTCCACTCTCATCTACCTCCAGCACCTCCGGTACGTTTCCCCTAGTCTGCATACAGTAAACCCCCACAGTACTTTTTATCATTCATCACCCTTTGTTGTTTTCCTCTTCATCTCATCCATTAACTTCCTTGTATTAATCCTCTGCTCTTCCTTTTGAACTCCCCCAACACCCCCCTCCCCCTTTGATATGCAAATTTGTTCTCCATTTTTTAAGCATTACCTTATAATGATATATTCAATGTGATGTAATATCTATAATCATTCTTTTTTAGGAAAATGTTGGTTACATATGTTTGCAGATATACGCTGATCATTGACTGCACCTAGCACTGTTTATACTTCTGACTAAGGCTCACCTCCACTGTCACACCATTATGCACATTTTTTGTGCATAAGTGATGCAACATCAAATTATTTTTCCTTTTTGCCTCTTTACTCTGATGTGGAGAGCCACAGGTCTATAGGTGATCGGTCTACCCAAAAGGTGCAATAAGGTCTACTCTCTGCAGTTTCTGGAGATTATAGACCGATAGCTCAAGGCCAATGGAAGCCAGCATTCTACTTACTTGTGTGTAAACACAACCATCTCCTTTGACAGAGGCTGTGTAAATTCCTGGGACTTTCGGCAGATTCACTGTGTGGAGAAGGAGACTGTTATCCTTGTTTATGTTAACCTCTTTGTGAAATCCTGAATCATCTTCAATAATAACAGTTGAGTCTCCCTTCTTGTGCTTGGTGGCCTTGGCATATTTAGCGAGAGCATGAAGAGCTACTGTAGTATCCTGTAACATAGAAAATGTTTATAAGCATCAAAGCATATATGAGCCCAAAAAACTATTTGCTATTTTGCAGCTCACTAGACAATAGATGAGGCAATTACAAAAAAAAAAAATATTTCACACAAATAGAGTTTTCCTTAGGTGGCAAATAATGCTAAATAAAGTTTAAAAAAGTTTTTGTTATAAAATTTTGCACATTTTTTTTTTTTATTTATTTCAGGTACTTCTTAAGCACCACCAATTTACGCAGTGCTTTACACATATACTGTATGTTATACATTCACATCAGTCCCTAACCCTCCAGGAGCTTACAGTTTAAGGTCCCTAACTCACATTCATACAAATGCACACTAGAAGCCAATTTACCTGCCAGCATGTCTTTGGATTGTGGGAAGAAACCAAAATCCCCAGAGAAAACCCACGCAGGCACAGGGAGCAAACTCTGAGCAGGTAGCTTCATAGCAAATAAGTAATCTTTCTTCATACATTAAAGCCAAACTATATTCTGCTACATTTCCTTGGTGAAAATAACCCAAATCAGTCTTTATTATTTAGTCTGTAGTAAAGTTATCCACAAACTATGGTGTATATATCTATAGCTATATATTTTTAGCTATATAGCAAAAAAAAAGTTTTTTTGGTCAATCATTTCTGGGGAATATATTTATTATGTATATTTATTTTTTATCATATTTTTGTCATTTAATCACTGCACTTGTTACTACTGTGTGATAGTTAATCCCATATTTAGGGATTCACAGAGCTTATCACCTATTTTTCTATTTTATTTGGCAATTTATAGCCTTTGTGGTCACCAGTATTGTCAGAGTGATAATTGATCCAAAATTTAGGGATTCACTGTTTTTTTATATTTATTAATATCTTTCACTTTATTGTAGTCCCATCAGGACTTTTTTTCTTTCACTGGCGTTTATTTTCAATATTTATTCACCATTATTGTCAGAGGGATAATTGATCCCACATTTAGGGATTCACCATTTTTTATTTATTAATATCTTTCATTTTATTGTAGTCCCATCAGGACTTTTTTTCCTCCTTCACTGGCGTTTATTTTCAACATTTATTCACTTTTCCATCTCACTATGAATCCCCTAGTGGATCAGTTCACTTCATGATTGGGGAGTGAGTGGCATATTTATCCACTGTATGCACTGAGGATAATGATTAGTCACCATTAAGATATATTTGGTATGAGTTATATTGGGTTTTAATACCGTTTTGTATTATTATATTTTTTTTTTACTACAAGTCACAGTAATATTTAGGGTAGCGCTGCACCATACGTTTTATAATTTGCACCGGCCTTGTGCATTACCTTTAAAAATTAATTTATTGTATAAAAGGTGGTGATATACTCACAAAGGATAAAATATCAAAAGGCATATCATGTGAAGTACAGCAAGGTCCAATCAAACTGGATGATATCTGTGTTGGGATTTGTAGACCCCAAGTCTGACTGGTTCTCATTTGGAGGTCTACAAATCCCAACACAGATATCATCCAGTTTGATTGGACCTTGCTGTACTTCACATGATATGCCTTTTGATATTTTATCCTTTTTGAGTATATCACCTCCTTTTATACAATAAATTAATGTTTAAAGGTAATGCACAAGGTCAGTGCGCCCTCTTTTTTGTTTCTTTGCATACAAATAATAGTGGCATGCTTAAAGAGGAAATAAACTCAATCAACAATATTGATTAACGATTTTGAATGCTTATGCTGCTAGCCTTAGTAAATAGATAGGAAGGTATATTATATTTACATTATTTTACATTTCTTCAGTTGCTTCCTAGCTTCTGGCATAAATTAAAAAAATGTCATGCATCCCAGGAGTCTTCAAGGGCATTTTTTTCTTTCATGTAGAGGAGGGACTCAACCTCCTGCTTAAGGCAGATGGATCAGTAAAAGCTACACGTATTGTTTGCCCTTACTCTAGATGAATGTGGCTAAGATTGCAAGGGGAGGTATTTTTCAAAGTGATTTCTCAACAAAATAAAGCATGGGGACATGGATTGATGGGTGAGTTTGTTTTCAATAATAATAATAAATTAAGCAGAAGTTTGAGATTGTGGTGATCAGATATACAGTAGTTAAGTTCTGCTTTAACAGGGAGAAAGGTTTCTGATTCGATCTGGGCTCCTCAATGTGCAATCATGTGCCAAAGTAACAGTTATAATTAGAATAAATATAGTATTAGAAAACAATGATGTAACCTGAGAAGAGGAGAAGCCACCCCATGGGTTTTGTTTTGATGCAAGCCAGTGGACAGAATAAGCACTTTCTTCAAGGTCTTTGTGGGTGATTATATTGTCAGAAAGCAGAGCCAAGATGGTGTATGAGTGTACTTCGATATCTTCATGACGATAGCTACTACCTGGCAAGTGCTTGGTTCCACCTAAATTAAAATGTACAGTATAATTTAAAAAATCTGCTATAAGCAATATAATGAATTATACAGTATATGTCATGAGAAATGTGTATAGATTGCCATTGCTGACCTCTACAGGAATGCTAGTTTCCTGACTGTCATGCCAATAGTTTGGCCTCAAAATATTCTGATTCACTCACCTGCAAAAGGTATAGTGGCATAGCATGAGTAAACCACAGAGGCAGTTGCCCTGGGAGCAAAATTCTTAAGGGTGCAAAATTTCCCCAGGCCAGCCCCTTACAGTACACTGATTATATCCCAATGCCAGGACTGGCACCAACAAATGTGAGTTGAACTAATTGTTTTATGTGAGGATTTTAATTAAAGGTTTCACACTATGGGATATACTGCCCCCCCCCGATTGTATGTATGTGGAACACCGTTGAATAATGGGCGTGTTACTGCAGTGTTTTAAAAGATAAGTTCTGGAGTGTTAAAAAAATTTATAAATGCACATATTTTTGCAGAAATAAATTAGCATTTATTATTTTTTTTTTACTGGTAAGTCTGCAGAGAATTGCACCTACGATCAGTAGATCACGAGTGAAATGTCAGGCTCCTGCAGACACCGCCTCCAATTTGCCTGCCCATATCTCTATACAGAGCCCAGCACAGCCGTTTTTAAAAAAGTAGCTGTGGGTGTGGGTAGAAGGTCACCTGCTCGCTGCCAGGGGGGTGGTGGGGGAGCAGATCTGGAGCATGTTACACATTGGATACACCTTGAATATGGATGTAATGTGTAACATGCTCCAAAAAGTGAACCTGTCACCTAGGGGGTCTCATGGTCTGGTGAGTTCTCTAACAATTTGTGGAAAGATTCACTGACAACTGCACAAAGTAGAAGAAAGAATAACACGTAGTGTTTTTGGACTGTTTTTATATACTGTTGTGACTTGCACATTGCTTTTCTTAATTGAATCACATTATTTTTATATTAGCGTGGTTTATTTGTGTATAGATCTTTGTATTCACAGTTGGTATGTTATGTACACTGTATAATTTAGGAATGTTTGCATAATTTTTTTTAAAGGGAATCTCCTGAACTGCATCGATCCAATGAAGCATTCATAGCTGTTGATCAAGTAAAAAGAACTTATTCCTACTGCTAAGAACATTCTCATGATTAAGGGCAGAACAAGGGAAGGCATCTGGAGAATCTTCCTCCAAAGGCTGTGAATCAGTCTTTAAAAAAGTTCCTTTCCCTGGGTGATCAGTTTCCAAGAAGGTGTCACGATCAGGGGTCAGGCTCGGAGGCTAGTAGCAATATCAGTGAAAAGGCTCACACAGAAACCAGCAGGATAAATACACATGCAGATTCCCGTGGCGGGTGATGCGTGTGTACCCGAGACATGGGGTCTAAGCATTAACTGGTTTTCCCCAGATCTGATGGTGAAGATGGGTTTCGCTGTGTGATAGTGTTAAGTGAGAGCCCTCAGGATTGCCACACCAGGAGGTGAGCAAGCCAGGGTGCAGTAGCAAATGTAGTGGTAGGTAACAAGCAGAAGTGTACTTGGTAAACAAGCTAAAAGGTCGATACCAAGTGGTTGCAGGTTGGGATCAAGCAGAAGTGTAGCCGAGGAACAAGCTAAAAGTCGGTAACAAATGGCTGCAGGCTGGTATTGTCGAGGAACAAGCCACAGGTCATTGTTGAATGGTAGTATGAAGGAGTTAGCAGAGGTGTAATGTTCTGTTTTTATAAATGAGGCTAATGTCCTTAGGATAATTGAGAAGTGTGGGGCATTATGATTAAAGATTAAATATCTCCTTGAGAATATTCAAGAATGTCATAGAACTTGTGGCTCTTATGAAGTTCTTTTAAGGCAGGAGCATACATTCAGCACTGATTTCCTGGAGAGACCCAGTCAACATCTTTGATAAGGTATTGGCCTTACCATTCTTTGACCCAGGTCAATATGACATAATAAAATTGAACTTGGTAAAGAACATTGACTGACATGCCTATCCAGAAGACAATCTTTTGTCAGAACAAATTAAATTCTAGATTTTTATTATTAGTGAGAACAGTTCCAGGATTAGCCCTTTCCAGGAGACTTTACTGCCTCTATCTCCTAATAGATAAAACTATTGAGACTTTGAAACTGAATCTGAGATGGTGACAAGAACCAAAGGCATAGTTTGATCTAAGGTTTCAGGAGGGTCAAAAACAGACTCTTCAAAGGTTCCATATGTGTTCCAGAGCCTTCCACCACATATAGGATGCCCCAATAAATAAGCACATAAAGCCAAAAATTCCTGAACATGGAGATGCGTGTGGACATGGGGAATGACTTAGCCTCACCTGATGGAGTGAAGGAAGACTCTGGCGGTAACTAGAAATAGAGTTCTCAGATTCCAGGCCATAGGTGCCAGTTTCTTCAGAGTAAACATCTGAAGAACTGACTGGGGAGTATGGGCTGTTTGGGTCAATTGTGGCAGGGCTGTATCATCTTTGTTTTAGCGAAGACTTGCTGCGTTCACTTGGTGGTACTGCAACTAGTTCCGAATGTGAGCAAGGCCTCAGGTGCTCAAAAATCTACCAGGTTTGTTTAGGCAGGCAGTGTAAACAAAATAAAGACCAGGGACCCACATGGTGCTGCATGAGAAGGAGCAGTAACGGGATGGTGCTTCCTCTAGGCTGAATGGCAGAAAAGAGAGCATTAAGAGTGCATGTGTCTCTCCACCAAGCCGGTGAGATCAGATTCTCCCATCTGAACCTCTACTATGGTAAAACCATGCCCCCAATGTTTTAACCTGAACAGCCTTTCTTTACAGAGCAAGTCTTCAGAGACAGGCTTAGGGGCTATGGAATGACTCTGGACCCAGAAAGCTCTGCAAGCAATGCAGTACACTCAGGTCTGGAAAGCACCACAATGAACAGAATGGAAAATTGCTGGAACCTTTTTATTGCAGTCTGTGTTTTTGTTCCGCTCATTTACTTTTCTTTCTGAGACCCATCAAATTCTCAAGAAGAGAGGAACAATCTTCAGTAAATCAGACTCACATAGATGCTAACCCGTCCTCACTCAAAACCAAACTAAAAAATGTGCTGGCTCTTGTTGGGCTTTAGTAACTTGTGTAGTATAAATTCTGTTATTTGCTCAATACTACTTACCCTCCATCTTAACATGGTCATTCAGACGTTTTTAGCATGAGTGCTCTCAGCTCATTGTCTCCTAGCAAGGTGAAGGCATATGCCAAGACAGCCAGCACATGTGGTGTTTTTGCATTTTCTGCTTCTTTCCTTAGATAGGCTTTGGCATTCTCCACAAGACTTCCCTAAACACAAAAAGTAGGTCATAAGAGATAGAATGAATAAAAAAAAAAAACCTTTCTAAATCAGGAGTATAAATATTAAGCCACAGAAATTGACCACCATGTGCCTATTTCCTATTTTCATAGGATTATTCCCATTCTAATATGTGCAGAAGAGTGAGACTTCAGGTGGTATGGTGGATCAAGGAGTACACACAGTAGTAAAATAATGCTGAGTGTTTTACTGATCTCAAATGAGATTGTTGTCTATGGGACATTGCATACAGCTGAGTAAAGAACAGTAATACAGCGAGTACAGAGAAGTAAAACAAAAATAGAAAATGTTTCATTTGAGTGCAGTAATTTACTTGCGTGTTTACTCATTTAGGCCCCTTGCACATTTAGCACTACCCCCTTAAGGGTTACTTAGTCGTTTTTGGGTTCCCTTTCAATCTAGCCCTCTTGTTGAAAATCCAACCTCTGCCGGACACCACTGTGCTCTGGTGACCCAGATAAATCACACCTGTAAAATGGACTCACACACGGAGTAGTATAAACCAAATTGAAGTTTATAGTGGAATTGGAGGTAACTGAGTCAGGAATAATAAAATAACACTGATATAGACAGCAAATATGATCACTCTTGGCAATTGTGAGAAAAAGTAAGGACATTCACAATAAAGCATCAGTAACTATTGGCAGGCCTGCTTTCAAAAATAATCCACTGCCTCCAGTCTGAGGGGACTGTTGAATCCCCAGTGTGCAGGAATGACTATCAATAACAGATAAGCTCACTGTGGTTCCACAGAGCTAGATAACAAGGATTGAATGTGAAATAAAGAGAATTCTCAGTTATAATTGGCAGTGTCCCTGTAATGTCTTCTGCACACTTGTTGGGGCCCAACTGGTGTGAAGTTGCATCAAGGAGTGGATGGTAGTTCCTCACATCAAAGACAATGAGGGAAAAGGAGAATATTTAACACTTCCCTGATTGATTGTAAATAATTAGTGCAAGGTTCCCTAACCATGAATTGAGCTTGAAGTAGTAAATAGCAACACTTGGCATAAATGTCTATTGGCAAAGGTAGCCCCTCCATATGTCAAAAGGCAAAGGATGAACAGTAGTAGGAATCTCTCTCTCTCTCTCTCTGACCTCCTCGGTCTCGCTCTCTCTCTCTGTCTCTCTCTCTCTCTCTGTTCCAAGGTGCTACCCAGGTGTGGTCCCTGGCACTCTTCTTATCAGCCAAGTTATGCTGTTCAGAAGTACAAATTCCAGAGTGCTGATCTGTCAATGTAAATAACTGAATAGCAGGCCACCGCCATCTAATGTTAGCTTTAATGTATTGAAAGTAATAACATTTCAATGGGTTACACACACAAGCATCTTAATGTACTCATGCATATTCAGGAACTTGTGACGCCCATGTGCAAGGGGCCACAATACTGGCAATGAAGAATAATTTTACCAGTCTATACCAAACTGCTCCAAAATTGTTAAAGCTGAACTCTGGGCAATAGATAAATTCACAGACAAAATACATACATGGAAGTTGTTTTAACTGCAAATTATTTGCATTTCTGCCCATCCACTTCTGATACTTACACATAGCACTCCTGTCTGGTAGAGGAGGAGACTTAATTTTTCTCTGCTGCAGTTATTGACACTTACAGGTCTTGTCATCCCTCCACATATTATCGCTGGAAAGTAAGGGCTCATTCATACCATATGTGCACTGTTAATATCAGTGGGAGGAATAGTGCCCCACTGTTGGTGTCATTGACAGGAATGGAGCTTCATTGTTAGTGTCACTAGAAAGAATAGTGCCTTATATCAATGGAAAGAATAGTGACTAATATCAGTGGGAAGAATAGTACCCCAAGGGCCAGATAAAGGCAAGGAAAGGCCACATTTAGCCCATGCGCTACAGTTTGGAGACCACTGGAATAGGGGACTGCAGGAGGTTGATCCCAAGTCAAATTAAAATACTTTTCCTGTTTACATTTTAACCACTTGCCTACCGGGCACTTTTACCCCCTTTCTGCCCATGCCACTTTTCAGCTTTCAGTGCTGTAACACTTTGAATGACAATTGCGCTGTCATGCAACACTGCACCCAAACTAAATTTTTATAATTGTTTTTAGATAGATAGAGCTTTCTTTTGGTGGTATTTAAGCACCACTGATTGTTTTATTTTTTGCTAAACAAACTAAAAAAACTGAAAATTTTGAAAAAAGTTTTCTTAGTTTCTGTTATAAAATTTTGTAAATAAATAATTTTTCTCCTTCACTGATGTGCACTAATGAGGCTGCAGTGATTAGCACTGATAGGCTGCATTGATGGGCACTGATAGGTGACACTGATGAGGAGGCACTGATAAGTGGCACTGATGGGTATTGACAGATATCACTTATGGGCACTGACAGGCATCACTGATGGGCACTGACAGGCAGAACTCGTATATGGCACTTATAGGCAGCACTGATAGGTGGCACTGATTGGAACGGTTGAGGGGCACTGATTGGGACTGATAGGTGGCACTGACTGGCACTGATAGGCGGCACTGAGTGGCAACACTGGCTGGCACTGATAGTTGGCTTTGAAAGACAGCTCTGATGGGCACTGATGTGCACTGGTAGGCACTGATATTGGCATTGATGTGCACTGATGGGCACTGGTATGTGGCATTGATGGGCAATTACAGGTGGTATTGATGGGCACTGACAGGTGGCACTGATGGGGCTACACTGATCATCAGGGCACTTATCATCAGTACCCTGATGATCAGTGTAGATGTTCCCTGTGAGGAATGCCGATTACCAGCTCTCCTCTCCTCACGAGCTGTCAGCGTGAGGAGAGGACTGCCGATAACCAGCAATTACTATTTAGATGTGATCAGCTGTGATTGGATATAGCTAATCACATGACAGAGCCAATGTCAACAGCTCTTTACTCTGATCGGTGATCTGCTATATCCCAGGGACACAGTATACCACTGACTGCCACGCATGTTCAGTTAGAGATCCTCCAGAACAAGAGAACCGCCACCTGCTTATTATTTCCTTATATGGCGGGCGGGTCGCAGTTAAAAATGATCAATCAATTTGCATCATCTGCCTGGAGTTCAAATATAAAGTAGTATATAATTATGAAACCTGAAGCTATAAAAGAAGGCATTTGCAAACTGAAAAAATGTGAACATTACAAATGTAGCCTGGAAATAAATATATATATATATATATATATATATATATATATATAGACTGCTCAAAAAATTAAAGGAACACTTTTTAATCAGAGTATAGTATAGCATCAAGTCAATTAAACTCCTAGGATATTGAACTGGTCAGCTAAGAACAGAGGGGGTTGTTAATTCGTTTCAGCTGCTTTGGTGTTAATGAAATTAATAAACAGGTGCACTAGATGGGCAACAATGAGACAACCCCCAAAACAGGAATGGTTTTATAGGTGGAGGCCACTGACATTTTTTCTCTGCTCATCTTTTCTAACTAGGTTTGCATTTGACTAGGGTCAGTGTCACTACTGGTAGCATGAGGCGATACCTGGACCCTACAGACGTTGCACTGGCAGTCCAACTCCTCCAGGATGGCACATCAATACGTGCTATTGCCAGAAGGTTTGCTGTTTCTCCCAACACAGTCTCAAGAGCATGGAGGAGATTCCAAGAGACAGGTAGTTACTCTAGGAGAGCTGGAAAGGGCCGTAGAAGGTCCTTAACCCATCAGCAGGACCGGTGTCTGCTCCTTTGTGCAAGGAGGAACAGGATGAGCACTGCCAGAGCCCTACAAAATGACCTACAGCAGGCCGCTGGTGTGAATTTCTCTGACCAAACAATCAGAAACAAACAGACTTCTTGAGGGTGGCTTGAGGCACGTCCTCTAGTGGGCCCAGTGCCACTGGCACCCTGTGCTTTTCACAGATGAGAGCAGGTTCACCCTAAGCACATGTGACAGATGTGAAAGGGTCTGGAGAAGCTGTCAGGCATACAAGCACATGAGGGCCATACAAACTACTGACTACCATTTTGAGTTGCTGCAATGAAATTTCAGCAAAATGGACTAGCCTGCTTCATAATTTTTTCACTTTGATTTTCGGGGTGTCTTTGAATTCAGTCCGCTGTAGGTTGATAATTTTAATTTCCATCAAACGATGGGGCATTTTTACGTTCCTAACACATTAACCAGTCCATATCAGTAAAGATATCCAGCATAAGATTTTTCCCCATTAAGATCTGATGTGTTTTCAAAGTGTTCCTTTAATTTTTTTGAGCAGTATATATATATATATATATTTTTTTTTCCATTACAGAAAAGGCATGCTTTAGGTTACATTCACACTGGCGATTAACCACTTGCCCTCCTGAGGATTTATCCCCCTCCTGACCAGGCCATTTTTTGTGTTACTTTAACTAACAATTGCACGGTCATGCAACGCTGCACCCAAATGAAATTTACGTCCTTTTTTTTCTCACAAATAGAGCTTTCTTTCAGGTGTATTTGATTACCTGTGCATTTTTTAATTTTTTGTGTTGTAAAAAAAAAAAGACCAACAATTTTGAGAAAAAAAACAATATTTTTGACTTTTTGCTATTAAACATGTCCAGTAAAAAAATTTTAAAAATCAAATTTCGTCATAAATTTAGGCCAAAACGTATTTTGCTAAATGTCTTTGCTAAAAAAAAATCCCAATTTGTGCAAATTAATTGGTTTACGTGAAATTTATAGCGTTTACAAATTGTGGTATATATACGTTTTTTTTTTACATTTTTACTAGTAATGGCGGCAATCAGCGACTTATAGCGGGACTGCGGCGGACATTCTGACACTGGGAAGAACTGATTTGGTGTCACTGACATCCCCAGTGACACCAATACAGTGATCATTGCTAATAAAATGTACTGACACTGTACTAATGGCACTGGGGATGAAGGGGTTAACATGTGGGGCGATCAAAGGGTTAACTGTGCTGTGCGCCATTTTACATCATGTTCTGTGTTTGTGCTTTACTGTAAGCACACTGTGTGCAGGAGCTGACAGGGAGGAGAACTGTTTTGTTTACTAACAGTTCTCCCCCCCGTCGGAGATCCTCAGCAATCACTGGGTGCCGGCGAGTAATCACCGGTTGGGACCCGGTGACTGACAGCCGTGGCCACGAACGTAGGTGTGGGTAGGGCACACACGGGCCCCCTACCCGGAAATGTAAAATCACATATATATATATATATATATATATATACAGTATATATACATACACACATGATTTTTCGCACAGCTGCCGCCCTGCAAAATGATTTCTGCTATGTGGCGGAGCTAAAGCGGTTAAGGAGTAGGAATCTTCTGTTTATAGTTGCGGATGAAAGTGGCTAAGTGCAACTTCCAGCTCCATTCACTATAATGACAGGTCACTGGCAGCCGCAACAATTACTTGTCTTGATCATGGCTCGACATACCTTGTGTGTATACAGCTGCGATCGCAGCAGGTAATAGCTGGCTGTGTGGACAGCTGCCAATAGCTGTGGCCACCGGCGACCTGTCATTATAGTGAATGGGGTGGGCAGCTGCACCTAGTCCCTCTCATCTGCAGGTGTAAACAGAAGATTCCTGCTGGCCTCACTCACCACTTTGAATGTAGCCTAAGACAGCTGTGAACTCTAAATAGAAACAATTTGTTCTGCATCAGTTATATTTAAAGTGTTACTAAACCCAGGACCCTGCATTCACTATATCTGGTCTCCCACAGTACACAGAACATGGAAATACAATTATTTTAGTAAATACCTTTTTTCATTAGCAGTATATAGTAGTCTTGTGACCTCTATCAGTGTCCAGCAGAGCATTGGTTAACGCTTGTAGGAAGAGTTTTAATTCTCTCACTGTCCTATGAGTCTTTAGGATCCCATACCCTCTGTCTGGACAGTGCTGATTGGCCCTGTGCTGATCACATGCACTCTCCCAAGAACAAAAAAAATTATCTAGCAATACACACCAAACTGAGTATGTACAGCTTGACCCCAAGGCTCTGTTCTATCAGGAGATGATTCAGGGACAGTAGAAGAAGGAAAGGATCATAGAAGACAGGATTAAACTTCCTTTTTACACAATGCAGAGGATAAACCCCTTAAGTTTCAAAGTGAGTATAACAAGCATGCTTTACTGCATATACAGATATTTTACTGTTGTGAGTTTAGTAACACTTTAAACATGTTTAAATTGAGTGTTAGTGTTTATTTTTAAAAAAATATTTTATTTACAAATATACATTTAAATAATGGTACACCTGTAACAAAGAATTTTCAGAGAACTGTGGGATTTCTAAAGAGAGTATAGCAGAATCAGTTTGCAGACAGAGGCAACTGAAAACAGCAAGAATGAGGAGTTTGGGGTATGACTCTTTCACTTGTGGGTATAGACAAAGCTGCCTATGAATGCCTGAGCAACAATCAGCCTGACTCAATTTTGTTGCGGGTGTTGGTGGTTGGGAAGTTCAAGTCCTACAGCCGGAACATAGTGCTGTATACTGTATACAGCAGAGACTAGGAAATAGTTTCTACGGGCTAGCTTAGCACAAATGGGTTAGTTAAAGTGAAAGTAAAGCTGGAGATCAGCTTTAGGAAATTTTGTGTAATTTACCAGTATATTTTGTAGTCCTGAACAGAAATAAGAACTAAGATTTTATTTCATGCCATTTTTGCGCAGTTTTTGTTTGTCCAACTTGAAACAGAAAATGTGAAAATTAATAAGATCAAAGAACTTACATCATAAACAATCCGATGTTCCATTAGAGAGATGAGAATAAAAGCAGTCCGTGTGATATCGTCATTCTGAAAAAAAAAAATATTTTAAAGGGTCAGCCTTTCAACAGGTATTTACCAGTTATAGAGACAACATGAATAAATCCCCACACTTCATGGGACTCTAGAGGAGGGATCTCCCCATCATATTTCCCAGCTCTATTTACATCCTCTATGGAGTCACACTCTTCTTGTTAAAAGACAGGAGAGTATTATTATTCAGGATTTATATAGTTCCAACAGTTTGCACAGTGCTTTACAACATGAGGGTAGACAGTACAATTACAATACAGAACTCCTGTCAGGTTTTAATGCTGTCCATGTCATCATTAGGGGTTTGATTGGTAATTATGACTTTTTGAATTGTCGTATACTTGTCCTATTGTCAGTATAGGTTACTTTAAATAAAATATGCCCTATGTAATATTATAAGGTGTGTATTATGTTGTGCTCTATTTTTACTTGAAATTTTTTCATTGCTTTTGGATTCTGTGTTGTTTTCCAAGGGGAGCACACCTTTTGTCTTTGTAGGCTGTGCCAGTTTTTGTAGGTTTTTATGTTTCCGTGAGAAAAAATTCAAAATTTTGAGTTGCCACTAGGAATGAGCTCAGTGTTCGGTCCAAATGCAAGTTTGTTTGGGATGTTTGTCTGAATGCCAAACTTTCAGGCATTCTGCATTGATGAATAAGACAGCCTCCCATTGGTTGCAAATGAAGCTTTGGATGTCTGCACCTACTGAAAACCCTGGCCATGTATGCAAAAGGGCAGGAGATGGGGGGGGGGGGGGCATAATTGCCTAAATATGTCTGTGAGTGGGCACTGTCATGTTCCATTCTTCAGGTTTTTTTCTTTTGGTGAGTGTTGAAGATGTGGTTGATGATGGATTTTCACTGTTGAACATTTTTTGGGGATTTTTAATTTTTTTAAATAATAAGCATGTCAATTTTTATGGGTGCTGTTATTAGGGTTCACATTTTTTGTGTGAATGAGTAGGGGTACTATGCACCCCTTACTCAGTCACATGGGGGAGCCAGTATTTGGAAGTCCCTTGTTTTTAAAGGGGTCTTCCTAATCACAGTAATCCCCCATGCCAACCCCCCCCCCCCCAAAACCATTGGCCTAGGGGTCTAGGGGACATGGTGCTTTACCATTGGGGTCTTCTCTGGTACTCCCTCTATGTTGAGGGAATGTGACCTGGTATCGTTCAGAAGGGGAGCATGCTCTTTCACACCCTTTTTTGGTCGGCCAGGTTGGATTATGGGGGACCCCAAACATTTTTCTTTATGGGTACCCTTTCAAAAAATCCATACCAGAAACTTTTAGGGTACATTCACACCAGAGAGGGTAGGACTGTGTTGGGTGGCTATTCCAGCACAGTCCCACAACAGGTCAAAGCAAAATGCCTTGTCTTCTATCTGGCAAGTACTGCATGCACTATTTTTTCCAGTACAGCACAGTCAACTGCTTCCCATTACAGTGCAGCCAGTAGAAAATAAACAGTGTGATGCTCCACAATCATCACATTGGCACTGATGTCATTCTAACTCATGCCAGCTTCAAATGTGAACTAGTTCATGAAGAAGACCTTTATTCATACCAGCTTAAGAAAAAATGAATGTTCTTTTGCCTCCAGCATTGCTCCTGTTTCTTCTTGCTCAATACTGACATTGTGCAGGAGCCCAGAGCAGTCACTTTCTTATTGAGAACTCTCCCCTCTCCTTAAACCATCCATAACTGGAGCAAAATTCAGTTGGCTTAGCAGGGACTGGCCAAATTTCAATCCATGTATAGGCAGGCTGGTTGTACAGAAGGCGATCTACCAAATTACTTTTATACAACTAGCCTGTCAGATTTTCCCCGTTTGATTAACACCATCGGCTATAGGCAGCAGCACTGATCAGTGTATTGTGATAGTGGGGAAGTCTCCCCACTGTCAGAATAAAGTACCCTAATGGGGAAGATTAAAATAATAAACATATTATACTCACCTGCTCTGTGTAAGCAGCCAAGGACTGCCTTTCTCTGGCAATTTTGGCTTCTCCCCTTCTGTATCCGTCTCTATAGTCAGTGGTTTCTTATGGGGCAGACATTTGGGCTCTCTCCTGAGCCGGGTTGTGTGTGGCTATAGACACACACAGTGTGGCTTGGCCCTGGCCTCCACAGCCCACTGACAGAATTTGATTGACAGCAGCAGGCATCAAAGGCTCCTGCTTCTGCCTGATCCAACTGTGGGAAGAGAAAGATAACGGGAGAAGACCTGCAGACAGGCACAGGGCTGGATCAATACAGGACTCAGATAAAGTGTTTAGGGGGGCACTGCCAGTGCAAAACATGTTTTACCTTATTGCAGGGAATGCATTAAAGTAAAAAATATTTTAGCTTTAGAACTACTTTAACCATCATTAAAACTCCTAATTGAATTGTTCTGCATTATTACATATCCACAAGGTCAGTGCCCAGCTCCCCATACCATTTGTTTTCTCAAGCCCTACCCTAATATCCCAAAAAAAATGGATAGTATAGATTTTATAGATTCAGCACTCCTTGATTTCTGTTGGGTTTGGATTCAGTATCCAAAATATGCTGAACCCACACTTAAAAAGAACCCAGGTATATTCGGCTCAGTCATAGTTGTTACTACAGCAGGAATACTGGGTAAATATTCCAATGGAGACAGTTGTTCCACTGACAACAGTCTAAGGGGAAATGTCTCTCATTTGCACTTCTATGTCCATGTACTTATTGAATGCTGTACATATAGGCATCGCTGAAAAGCAAGGAGACTTTTTGTCTGTGAAATTTATATTGTATATGACATACTGTATGTAGATAGAACTAGGTGGTTTCATGCTGCATGCATTTTATAGTTTTTGTGTTTATTTTTATGCATTTTCAGGTACAGGTACATGCTTTATGCAGTATTTTGTATTCATGCCAAACATCTCTATGACAGGAACCTTTCCATCAAAATGCACTGCATGCAAATGCAGAAATGTGAACAGACCCTAATTTCAAAATGCCTTGTGTGGCTATGACAGCTGACCTTGCTAATATGATATTAAGGCTTTCCAGTCACCTGGGGCAGGACAGGAATGGTATGGGGGCTGGGAGTAAAAATCTGGTAAGTTCATATGCATTTACAATATACTAGCATAAGACTGCCATGTCTCTGAGCAGGATGAAGTACCAAATTACTAAAAGAAAAAAAAAAAAAAAAAGAGAGTGCAGGAATCAATCAATGAAGAAGTGTGCATGAGTAGCAATGGTTGAATGATTGTAAGAGAAGTGCACATGTATAACATTGGATGGTTGAGAAGTGCACGAACATAGCATTGTTCAGTGAAAAAGTGCAGCGCTGGTCCTCAGAAAAATGTATGCAGTGTCTGTTAGTCATTCGCAAAGTGTGTGGTTAACCAGTGCTTAGGTATTTTGATGTAGGATTCGTCAGTGGAGGAGTGTACAGGTGCAGTGGCTATTGGTGGAGGATGTCAATGACTACTTACCTGCTAGTCCTGCGGTGCCAGGTCTCATGGAATTAACATTACCATATTAGTGTTTCTGTCCATGTATGCCATTGTTGGTTACAGCCAATATCATGTCTTCTAAATACATAACGATTTCTTCCTCCAGAATAAAATACCTTCAGTGAGAGTTTCTGTCTCGAGTCAGAAAAGTCATGTTTGCCTTTCACACTTCTAACTTGCTATTCAAATGTTCTGTTAGTAAATGTCACTGCTCTGCTAGTCCATACTACTGGCAGGAAGGAGTTAAAAGAAACCTACAATGACAGGAATATATTGCTATGTTCTGCTCCTAAAGCCTAAGCCTAGTTGTCTGGATTTGATGTCCATCTATGGCTTAGGCTCCCTCATGACTTGAAAAAAGTATGGTGTTCTGACTTTGACTTTGGTGGTTCCATACTCATTCCAAACAACTGGTAAGAGGTTGGCTGTAAGCGCCTACATATTTCTCACATTGCGAAAGCATTATAGAGAGATTTATAAAATATGTGTCAATACATTAGTACAGCAGATCTGAGCTACTCACAAATATGTCGTTGTAGAAATAGGAGTCAGAATTCTGAAAACATCCATTGGGCGACTGTACACTTTCCAGCCAGTGGAGAGCATCTTGAATGTGCTTCTCATCTACGTGGATAAACTGCTGGGCACAACTAAGAGCCTTAACTACCAAGGCTGTAATCCTGCAGGAGAATAATAGTTAAAAGAGAAGCTCCATTTAAAAATAAATTCATTTTTAAAAACTGTTACAAAATCCATGGCCAGTCCTTGGTTTCGCCAAAGCCCCTAAGCTTTATTGCCAAGGTCTGACATTCACTTTGAGGAATTTTTAAAATATACTTCATTATGATTGTAATAATTCTTCTCAGTCTATGCCCTCCATCAGCAGTGGTGTGATCATAAAAATCATGACCACTAATCCTGAGAGAGTGGTGTGATCACACAACTGCTGATGGGTCTGTCAAGAGGTTCTGAAGCAGCTGGCCAGTAACTTGCTCTAGGTTTCAATTGTAAAAGGTAGAACTGATTGAATGTAGCCACTGGTAATTTTCTGTCCAGTTCTTACATCCCTAAACCAGAGACCTGTTGGAGCGGAATCCCACCAGCCCTGACCTGCAGAGGGATTTGGATGTTGGTTTGAGTGCTTTGTGACCTGTTATCTATAGGTCAACGCTTGGAGGTGACCAGAAGTGACAGAACCGGAAGTAACGCGGAAGTAACGCGGGGAGAGCGTCTTCAAGGGGCGTGAAGACATCAACTGACAACGCGTTGGACCTGGCCTAGTGGACGTGACGTTGGAACGTTCCCCCCCAGCTGTCGGCTGTGTTGATCGCAGTGCAGGAGGTTCGTCCCTTGGTTTTTCCCTTGTGGATGTGGCATTTTAGAGGCTGTCATTGCTGGTGTCGGCTAGACACCTTCTTTGTGAGTGCAATACTTTATTAATAAAATTTTACTGGTTTTAAACGTACTGCACCATCATATCTCTTCTTATTCCTCGAGCTTTGCCCATGTTATTGGAAGATCATTTGCTGCTTAGCTGTTCCATATGTGCTGCCTTGCTGCTCCATATGTGCTGATTGGATCACTATTGGTCACTGTTGGTTGCTGTTCCTCTACTGGGATATCCTGCAGATCATCGCTCCTAGAGCAAAATGCTATCATGCTGGTTTATAATATAATCAGCATATAGCTCTGGTGAGTGTATTCATTTCATCTGGTGTTGGATTTGCACATGGGTGTTTGCTTTCAAGATTGACATTAAGTTGATATTGGACTATCACTGTTATGGTGGCTGGACTTATGTTTATATTTATGAATTTATTTATTTTTATTAGTTATCCTTGCATGTTTTGTGAATAATTAGCGCACTTTTTATTTGTACACAGTGTTTTAGATCTCACTGCAACACCTATGGGCTTTTTATCTGCTTATATTTTGTAAGTGGCTGTCTTTATAGCGATTAAAGGTGTTATTTTGTACTGCACCATTGGGTTATTTCTTTTTTGTTTCTACATGACCACTAATCCTGAGAGAGAGATTTGGGAGAAGGAGACTGTTATCCATTTTGCTATAAGTTCTTTATTATTTTAGGAATCTGTTAACCTGTGAAGTGGTGCCAGCTGATAATGGGAATGACAGGCATGGAGATTGGAGGATAAACAGCGAGGAGTGTAACCATATCGATTTTGGTTGATTTCCTTCCCATTTGGATTCACTTTATAAGCGATTCTAGCCAACCATGAGAATGGGGGGTATGGCTATCCGGTGAGTGCATACCCGAAAGGGGGGGACTCCATCCTTTTGCACATGGTGATTTCTTTTTGGGAATTAGAATATTAATTTGGTGCAAAAGCCATTTTATGGACTTTTTTAATTTTATTTTTCACTTATGTTGAATGATCACACTCGTTTATTTATTCACATGCATATATATATATTTTTTTGCGCTACTGAATCACTATGAGGGTTCTTTTGTGGTTGTGACAAATGTCTATGAAGGTTCTCATTTATCCAGGTTTTTTAGCTATTAGAAAATTAGTCACATTCATGTGGACTTGTTTTTTAATGTTGGTAATGTATCCCCACTCATTCCAGTGACTGCCCCATTTCAAATTAGAGTTAAGAACACACATACATGGGCAAGGTGAATTGGAACTGAAGAAAACAAAACAAGATGGTCAGAATGTATTAGTAAAAACTGAAAGCTATAGGAACACATCTAGTAGACTTGGGGCTTGTTTGTGGTGGCAAAACAACACTATGGAATAAAGATGCCCACAACCCTCTGACTTGCCAGAAAAAAAAATGATGACCCAGGACACATGACCAATCCCAACACTACTCATAGTCAAATGACAGCTCCCTGTGTTGTCTTTAACTATTTAAAGGAAGGTATGGGTAATGTCACTACTATCCGTGAGCATTTGCATAAGTGGTGGGGATTCTCAGTGATCAACGGTTCCTAGGGACACCACAGCTGCAAGCATCCTTGTACATATTTAAAAAGCAACAATTCTAAGCCAACATATGCTATTTAAAAAAAACATAATGCAGTAATGATATCCAATGTACTATCCTAAAGGATTATAAATGACTATTATAAGTATTATAATTTATGGCACATATAAGGTTGATACAAAAACAGCTGAGCGTATTTCCTTTAGCTGGGGGAAAAAATGCATGTATTCTTCTAAATAGAGCAAAATATAAACTTTCTGTCCTTAATTGCTCAATAAATACATACCATAGGTTAGAAGGACCTCCAGGAAAGGTAGCATAACCCCCTGTGCCATTTTTAAATGTTAGTTGTCTTTGGTAACCTGCAAAGAGAAAGTGATATGCTTGTATCATAGTCCAAACAAAAATGTATGTTGACATTGAAGTCAGAGATAAACAGTATTCCATGAAATCATTAACAAGCAAATTCTTCCTTACAACACAAACTAAAATTTCTTTACTTTTAAAGTAGAACAAAAGGCAAATTTTTTTTCATTATGGTAGAGTAAGGGAGGGTTATAATCCCTAACAGTTTTTTTTTGCCTTCTGTGTCCCCTTCACTTCCTGTCCCATACAGGGCTGGATTAACATAAGGGCTATGGGAGCTGCATCTCCAGGCCCCTATCTAAAGATAGGCCCAGCCATATATATATACTATATTGTACACTACACATATATATACTATATTGTACACTATCCTATATACTATATACTATATTGTACATTACACTCCTGCACTATATATACTATATTGTACATTACACTCCTACACTCTACATATATTACACTCCTACAATATATACTATATTGTACATTACACTCCTGGACTATATACATTATATTGTACATTACACTCCTACACTATATATACTATATTGTACATTACACTCCTACACTATATATACTATATTGTACATTACACTCCTGCACTATATACACCATATTGTACATGTACATTACACTATATAACTATATTGTACATTACACTCCTGCACTATATACACTATATTGTACATTACACTCTCCTGCACTATATACACTATATTGTACATTACACAATATACACTATATATACTATATTGTACATTACACTCCTGCACTATATACAATATATTGTACATTACACTCTCTGCACTATATACACTATATTGTACATTACGCTACTATATATACTATATTGTACATTACACTCCTGCACTATATACAATATATTGTACATTACACTCTCCTGCACTATATACACTATATTGTACATTACGCTCTCACTATGCTATACATATATATACTATATTGTACATTACACTCCTACATATTGTACATTACACTCCTGCACTATATACATATATTGTACATTACACTCTCCTACTATATATACTATATTGTACATTACACTCCTGCACTATATACACTATATATACATTACACTCCTATATGTACTATATTGTACATTACACTCCTACACTATATATACTATATTGTACATTACACTCCTATATTGTACATTACACTCCTATATATACTATATTTGTACATTACACTCCTGCACTATATACACCATATTGTACATTACACTCCCTGGACTATATATACTATATTGTATCTACATTACACTCCTACACTATATATACTATATTGTACATTACACTCCTGCTACTATATACACCATATTGTACATTACACTCCTCACTATATATATACTATATTGTACATTACACTCCTGCACTATATATACTATATATTGTACATTACACTCTCCTGCACTATATACACTATATTGTACATTACACTCTATATTGTACATTACACTCCTGCACTATATACAATATTTGTACATTACACTCTCCTGCTCTATTGTACATTACACTCTCCTGTACATACATTACACTCCTACACTATATACTATATACACTCTCCTGCACTATATATACTATATTGTACATTACACTCCTGCACTATATACACTATATTGTACATACATTACACTCTCCTGCACTATATACACTATATTGTACATTACGCTCTCCTGCACTATATATACTATATTGTACATTACACTCCCTGCACTATATACACCATATTGTACATTACACTCCTGCTCTATATACACCATATTGTACATTACACTCCTACACTATATATACTACACTATATTATTGTACATTACACTCCTGCTCTATATACACCATATTGTACATTACACTCCTACACTATATATACTATATTGTACATTACACTCCTGCACTATATACACCTATATTGTACTATATACACTATATTGTACATTACACTCCTACACTATATACACTATATTGTACATTACACTCTCCTGCACTATATACACTATATTGTACATTACACTCTCCTGCACTATATACACTATAGTGTACATTACACTCTCCTGCACTATATATACTATTACACTATTGTACATTACATTACACTCCTGCACTATATATACTATATTGTACATTACACTCCTGCACTATATACACTATATTGTACATTACGCTCTCTGCACTATATATACTATATTGTACATTACGCTCTCCTGCACTATATATACTATATTGTACATTACACTCCTGCACTATATATACTATACTATATTGTACATTACACTCCTACACTATATACTATATTGTACATTACACTCCTGCACTA